AGTTCTTTAAAGAATCAGGGTGATGCATACATGTATCTGTATCCATCATGATTTAAGATTGGACCATTCTTCCTGGCTGTTTCTGTAGGAGTTTTCAAGTTTTTAAAAACACGGCATTATGCAATGATAGGATTGTTTTTAAAGCAGAATACACTTAACCCTGTGTCTGAGTCTCCTGCTTCTGATGACATTAGATGTCAGCTAAGCTGCACAAGGCAAGACTGCCTGTAGCTCGCCGATGACCCTGGTCCTGTCCTGGGTGCCCTGGGGAAGGCGGGTGGGGGCAGAGCCTGGGCCTTTGCCTAAGCCCCATGGACTTTGCTCGTTGGCCTGATCACACTCAGTCAACCGCTCTGCCTGCGGTGGCTGTTTGCCCCAGGTTGGGATGAACTCTGGTTAACTTTTAATCTTCTAGAGAGAAAATCAAGATGATTGTTGCCAGATGACAGAAAGTGCTGGGAACAGCCCCCCCCCCCCGCCCCCCGCCGCGCCTGTAGTCTTTGTCTCAGGGAGCTGGTACTACTCTCGTTTCCCTTGTTTCATCTCTGTCCCCCACCGCAAATATCCAGTCATCCTTTGTTTTTCATAGGGGCAGGTGGGAGTTGATTTTGTTTTCTGAGATTGAAAACTCATTTTTGCTTAAGAAAGTCATGCAGGAGGTTTTAAAAAATGTTCCATTTTCTTCATGACCTGCCAACAGCTCCTGGCAGGCTGTGTAAAGCAGCCAGGCAGGTCATGGGGAGGGCCTTGGGAATGTTGAAGCTGAGGTAGGGGTCCCTGTCCACCGCTAATGAGAGGAAACTAGGGCTGGGGCCGGCTCAGAGAGGGCAGGAAGGCGAGACAAGGCCTGTCACAGCACTGTCTGTGTCCGTGGCTGTACTGAGTTCACGCTCGTCCAGAACGCTCTGTGAGGAGCAGGGGAGAGGAGGCCGTCCCTCCGTGGTGCAGTTTTTGGTTACGTGATAACCTAGCTCTGTGGGTGTGAGCAAGTTGCTGAGGGTAGCACAGTCTTAAATATGGTGCTTGTCAGGTACCACTGGATACGAAGTCATTTTATCAACAGACAGAGCCAAGATTTGACCTGAGTCTTTCTTACCCCATACCTAACCTGTGCTGCCTCTCTTTACTTTCCTTTCTTTCTTTTAGTTAAGGTATAGTTAATTTACAGTGTTGTGTTAATTTCAGGTGAAGAGCAAAGTGATTCAGGTTTATATATATTTTCAGATAATTTTCCTTTATAACTTATTACAAGATACTAAATATAATCCTCAGTGCTATGCAGTAAATCCTTGCTGTTTGTCTCATTGTGTATAGTGGTTTGTGTCTGTTTTCCCACACCCCTAATGTAGCTCCCCTTCCCTCTCTCCTTTGGTAACCGTATGTTTGTCTTCTATGTCTGTGAGTCTGTGTGTTTTATGTATAGATTGATTTGTGTTATTTTTCAGATTCTGCATATACATGATATATGATTGGTTCTTCTCTGCCTGACTTCACTTAGTGTAATAATCTCTCGGTTCATCCATGTTGCTGCAAATGGCAGTATTTCATTCTTTTTTATGCCTGAGTAGTAGTCCATTGTAAATACGTGGCATCTCCTTAAGCCAGTCATTTGTTGGTGAGCACTTGGGTTGTTCCTGTGTCTTGGCTGTTGTAAAAAGTGCTGCAGTGAACATCGGGGTGCCTCTGTCTTTTCCAGATACGTGTGCAGGAGTGGGACTGTGTGTTCTGTGGTAACAGAACCTCCACACTGTTCTCCCTAGCAGCTACACCAGTTTACATTCCCACCAGCAGTGTAGGAGGGATCGCTTTTCTCCACACACTCTCCAGCATTTGTTTTCTGTAGCCTTTTTGATGATATGTGCTGCCTTTCACCTTGCTAGAAAAAGAACCTAAAATGTTAACATTGCACATATCACAGTCCACTAGCATTCATTCAGCAAACGTTTGTCTAACCTTTATAGAACAGTGGGCAGGGAGACAATGAAAAGAATGGAAGCTGGGTTCCCACTGGCGGGCATCAGGCGGTGATCCTCTTCTAGGTGCATGGCCCCCATGTGGTCCCTTATTTCATCGAACCTTCAAGGCCAGGTGATGTCACTTCAGTAGCCATGATACAGTTCTTTCTCCCTTTGCTTTAGAGTTGAGTCCTGAGGGTGGTCTCTGAGAACACCTAAAAGATGTGATTTGACAAGCCACCTTGTGCTGTTTGTTGTTGTTGCTCAGTCGCTAAGTCATACCCGACTCTGCGGCCCGATGAACTGCAGCATGCCGGGCTTTTCTGTCCTCCTCTGTCTCCCGGAGTTTGCTCAAACTCGAGTCCATTGACTCGGTGACGCCATTCAACCATCTCATCCTCTGTCACCCGCTTCTCCTTTTGCCTTCAATCTTTGTCAGCATCAGGGTCTTTTTCAATGAGCTGGCTTTACACATCAGGTGGCCAAAGTATTGGAGCTTCAGCTTCAACATCGTCCTTCCAGTGAACACCCAGGACTGGTTTCCTTTAGGATGGACTGGTTTGATCTTCTTGCAGTCCAAGGGACTCTGAAGAATCTTCTCCAGACCACAGTTTAAAAGCATCAATTCTTTGGTGCTCAGCCTTCTTTATGGTCCAGCTCTCACATCCATACATGACTACTGGAAAAACCATAACTTTGACTATGCACACCTTTGGTGGCAAAGTGATATCTCCCCTTTTTAATATGCTGTCTTGGTTTATCATAGCTTTCCTTCCAAGGAGCAAGCATCTTTTAATTTCATGGCTATAGTCATCATCCGCAGTGATTTTGGAGCCTAAGAAAAGAAAATTTGTTACTATTTCCAGTTTTCCCCCTTGTATTTGCCATGAAGTGATGGAACCAGTTGCCATGATCTTAGTTTTTTGCATGTTGAGTTTCAAGCCAGCTTTTTCACTCTCCTCTCTCGCCCTCATCAGGAGGCTCTTCAGTCCCTCTTCACGCTCTGCCGTTAGGTGGTGTCACCTCCGCGCCTGAGGTCGCTGATGCTTCTCCTGGCGCTGTGTGTACAACATGGCAAGTGTTAAATCCACATTCAGCAGCAGCAGCTGGGATCCATTGCTTTAGTCTGCTTTACTGGTCCTACCACCAGTTAGTTTTCTATGTAAAAACAAAAGAACAGATAAAGATAGGAAAAGCACCTAAAGGATGCTTTTTTTTCCCTTGTAATATTTTTAAGTACATCTGATCAGAAACAATGGGGACAGTTTCAGTGGCCCCTGTTACTGATGTAGCAGACTGTGGTTCTGCCCTGAGAGCATGGGCAGGACAGGCTTCCAAGGGCTCCTGCATCGCAGCCGGCCTGTGTGTTCACTTGCCTAAAGATCATATGACTGACTCGGAATCACGTGACTGAATGTGTGCACACACCACACACTCCGTACTCTGTTAAGGTAAATAATAGCGTCTGGAAACCTGTATGCTCGCAGAGACTCTATAGCAGAAGTTGGAGGTGCGTTTATTGTTCATTCAGCAGATATTTATAAAAAGAAGGAGCCCATGAAGCACACCTCCAGGGCTGACCCTCAGTTGACTGTGGGTTGTTTTTGTCTCTTCCCCTCGCGTGTTCTTGACTTGAGCACATCTCTTTCCCTGGCTTTTGTCCTCTGACCTGTGGTCCACCCCCAGGGTCTAGAGTGCCTCGGGCAGCATATTGGGTTCTCTCAGGCAGGCGTGCAGCCATCTGCTCTAGCAACCTTACTTTTCAAGGCTTTCTTTTCTTTTTAAAGAACCTTCCATCATTTTTCCGTTGTTTGGCATAATTTACTCTGTTGTGAAGTAATAAGCAAGGGACATACTTTGAAGCATTTCATCCCCCAATTAAAAAAATCACCAGTTTCAACTTTGGGGACAAACAAGGGCCTTTATCATTTACTGACTCTCAGCTAAATTGGAATTTTACTCTATTCTGAATGGAGTAACCAGTCAGTTTGTGAGTATATTAGATGTAAAAAAAAAAAACAGAAAATTAGTGCCTTACTATTAAAATGCACTATATGTAGTTACTGTCTGAATTAAACTGGGTCTTTTGTCAGTGGAAAAAAATCCTCCCTGGTATTAGAATATATGCTCATGAACTTTAATTCTTTCTCAGAGTTGATTTCTGTCTCCTACTTGGCGGTCAGTTATACCGCAGTTGGGAGGACGGTGTGGGTAGCTGAATCGCGTGCTGAGACCAGACGCCCTGACTCTCAGGCGTCTCCTGCGGCTGTGTCACACTCAGCCTGTCCGAGTCTGGTCGTTGCCCCCTGAAAGTGAGATCTGAGGGAAGGGCCTTGGGGCTGGAAGGGCTGCGTGTGTGTTTCCTGCAATTCTGTGCTACCTGTGTTTTCCTTTCTGAGTTTGTCTTATTTTTGTAGTTGATAAGGAGAGCCACACCAGGAGTATTAGGAGGGCGGTCCTCTTCCTGTTCTGGGAGAAAGCCTGGGAAGTGTAGAGGGGCCGTGGGCCCTCACTGGGTGGCAGCTGGTGGAGTGTGAGTCTGTCAGTTTCCTCGTGTCCCTCAGTGCTTGCACGCTGGCACTCGCCGCCTTTTGCTGGACTCAGTGCTGTTCATGGGATTTATCTCGTAGATTTTCTTTAACATAAAAGTAGGTTGCTTGCTTTTCAATCTGAAACTAAACCCCCATTTCATATTTCTTTTTATTTATAAATAATTATGTTTTCAAGTACCAAAGTAATATTTGCTTATCATAGAAAATTTAAGTAGAACCTTGTTTTAAAAAAAAAGAAAACCAGAATCATAACCTCACCATCCAGAAATAAGTACTGTGAGTATTTATTTGTTCAGCCACTTCTCTGTGAGATTTATATATGTAAGATCCATAATGAGATGACACTGTGTAACTGTTTTGTTCCTATCTTGTCTTTATCTTTATTCTCATGCATGGCAGGCCTGAAATACATATATAATCAATATCAGTTCTGGCGCCCGTAGACTGTGCCCTGTCCCTGCTCTTGTTTACGGCCTCCTGTCTTGTTTTTCAGTGGATGAATACATCGCCATTGCCAAAGAGAAGCATGGATACAACATGGAGCAGGTAACCGTGTGGTTTTGTTGCTGTTAAAAATGGGGTTTGTAGCTCACCTGTTAGGTGTCTCATGTTTTGTGTGTTAGGCAGCATGGTTTCCTCATTAGCCATGTCTAGTGGTTACTGGCAGTGCTCCAGGGGCTCTGACCCACTTGTCACTGCCTAAGATGAGCAGTAGAGACCCTTGGCCTGGAGGGTCAGCAGCAGCTCTTAGTGGGTACTTGGCACAGTGCTTTCCTACGTGAATATATGACTTGTTTCTTGTTCCTGTGGTTTCCTGACTCATGTCACACTCAAACCTACTCAGACCTGTTTTAATTGTTTTGAATCATTTTTCAGGTTGTAAAATTTTACTCAGGTTTTAATAATTGTTTGGAGCCAATTAATGAGAAAGCCACAATGTTAATTTTTCTCCAGAAACATGATATCTTATTTCAGCCTTATTTTTAGTTACAGTTTTTTTCAGATTATCACCTTAAATTGGATTAATACTTTCCTTTGTTTTGATCTAGATTTTACAGCCTGTAAATAATTTTTTTTCATTTACCCTTATGCCCAAGGATACCACTAATTTTGGTTGCATAGACGTGGACCCTTTCTTTCTGCCATGGCCTCACTTTTGGTTATTTTACCTGGTAGAACTGTTAGGGAAGCCAAGGAACTACAAGAAGGTAGTTCCAGAATCTTTCAAAGCAAGAAATGTATGTCTCTTTCTCTAAAACCTGCTCTTGAACCTCACAGAGCTGCTTAGAAAATCATTAATTTTTCATTTTGTTTAGAAAGTGTAACTATTATTGGGTGACTGCTAAGTGCACTTGTATGAAATTTGTGAGGATTTTGGTCTCCCAAATTATGATTATTTCCGCTTTAAAATAGAATTATGGGGAGTTTTCTTAGAAAAGTATTCCTGAATTCTCTTGTTTCTACTTTGTTCCTTACTCATTTGTATTTTTTTTCCTTTCTGAGCTGAAACCCAAAACTCTTAATGTTTGAACTTTTTGGCCAAAGAAAAACAGTGGTGTGCTTTTTGAGTCACTTTCTCTTTCATGTCCACTGGCACTAGAGTGTGACCCTTTTACAAGTGCAGGTTCCAGAGCCCACTGCTTCTGCCATGTCCACTGTAACCATCAGCAAGTTACTGGGTTTCTCAGGCCCCTGTATTCCAATTTGAGTCATGAGAAGAGGGGGACTTACCTTGTAGGGCCTGAGATGAACAAGTTAGTACACAGAAGGGCACGCAGCAGCAGTGTTTGTGAGTTCCCATGTGTGTTTGTCGGGGTGTAAAATATGCTCCCTTTTGCCAGCCTCATTCCCACGATGTTTTAGTCACGTTGTTGGTCTAAAAATTTCACTGATACTATTTTTCTAGGCTCTTGGGATGCTCTTTTGGCATAAGCATAATATTGAAAAATCATTGGCTGATTTGCCCAACTTTACCCCCTTCCCAGATGAGTGGACTGTGGAAGATAAAGTCTTGTTTGAGCAAGCCTTTAGTTTTCACGGGAAAACTTTTCATAGAATCCAACAAATGGTGAGTAGGTGAGAGCACTGTGTGTGCGCCAGCCCCCGTTCCCCTCCAGCACCCCGGGAGGGCTGTCCTCCCCCAGTGTGAATGTCCTGTGTTTAGTACAGCGGGAGCTGCTGGGTGGGCGATGTGCCCCAGCCCAGCCCAGCTCTCGGGGTAGGACTGCCCAGAGTGTCCTGAGAGAAAGGGTCTCTGATGGTGAGTGGGTGAGGCGTGGCATCGGGGGCCCTGTCTCCCTGAGGAGTTCTGCTGATCTCTCACGTTTTAGAATGGTATTTGGTGGACTCCTACCATGAACGCTGACTGATGGTCACGTTAGTGCTAAAATGAATTCCTTAAAAAACAACCTAGAAGTTATGTTAGAAGCTTCAGCTGTGTGAAAACCCTGATTCATCTTAAAGTGACTCCAGTCTTTCATGGGCCAAGTTTCACTTGCAGTCAAAACTTCAGTCATTTGAAACTGTATCGATGAGGGTTCTTCTATGAATTCAGAGAAAAATGACTGTGACTTATAACATTTCTGAATATGTGAGCGTGATCCTTATGAAATATATGTACACACATTTGATCTTTAAAGATTAAACCTGAAGCAGCTCATCTCTTCCGTCCAGCTTCCTGATAAATCTATAGCAAGTCTGGTGAAGTTCTACTACTCTTGGAAGAAGACGAGGACTAAAACCAGTGTGATGGACCGCCACGCTCGGAGACAGAAGCGTGAGCGGGAGGAGAGGTCAGTAGGCGCGGGCGGTGCCCCAGCCCTCCAGGGAGCTCTGCCGGCCCCGGCGTCTCTAGGAGCAGGTGGACACAGAGGAGAGGGAGGGTGCCGGTCTCCCCAGGGCCTTCAGGGTGGGCCCAAAGCTTACACAGAGGAGCTGCGCTCAGGGTGTTGCGTTCTGAAGGCATCTTTCCTCAGCGCTCTGCAGTCACAGTGAGTGAACTTCCCCACACGTTCCTCTCTTCCCCTTAGGGGTGTCTCCTTTAGCAAGAAGGAATCTCTTACTTCTGGGGTTGAAATTTACTCATGTACTTCTGCAGGATTCAGCTGACATGTTTTTATGTCTGATTTGTTAAACATCTGCAGTTTAGATTTCCTTCCTCCCTTTCTCGACCATCTGTTCTGTGTATGTGAGCGAGAGCGCGGGTAGGGGATCCTTTTATGACTTCTCTTTTTTAATTTATTTTTATTTATTTATTTTTCCCTTTATTTTTATCAGTCGGAGGCTAATTACTTTACAATATTGTATGGTTTTTGCCATACATTGACATGAATCAGCCCTGGATTTACATGTGTTCCCCATCCTGAACCCCCTCCCACCTCCCTGTGACTTCTTTATAAGGAGCTTAGTTTTAAGGACGGCTCAGGGTGCGGGACACACCTCAGACACCACACCCTCAGCCTTCCGTACGGCAGAGGTGTGGACGCAGCCTGCGCTTGCCCACGGAAGTGAGTTCTGCTCTCAGTGAGAGGCCTGCTGGTGGGGTCCATGCACTCATTCCCAGGCCGCTGTCTCCTTAGGTCTGAAGACAAGACACAGAATGGGTTTTGTGTTAGTGGGAATATAGGTGGCTTTTAAAAATTATGTTTTCTATAATATATTACTTTTATAAATTAACAATGCAAAAATAAAATGAAGGAATAAAATAAACTCTATGATCTTCATGGCCCTGTCTCAGGAGAGTGTTTTATGATTTCAAATGAAAGGAATGACCTGTGGGGACAAGTCGATAATCGGGTGTCACTTCTGGAGAATTCTAAGGTCTGGGCACAAGTATAAAATGAGAGCAATGTGAAGAACATCTGCAGAGCTCTTTCCAGCTGTAAGATTCTGTGAAATTGTTGACCTTGACAGTCTGCATATTTTTTGGTCTGTATCACATGTAACTAGTGGGTCTATTTATGGATCAGTACTCTCTGTAACCAAAGAAAAGGAGCAAACTATTGAATTTGTTTTTAGTGTTACAGCAACTTTTGATTAACATTTTTTGTTTTTATTATACCTTAGGCTTAATTCACTCTTTGTGAACTTAATCTATTACTACAAACAGGTGCAGTTTACTAAGCTGAAATCAGAATTAAATCTAATAAAGAAAGATTGGGGTTGTCATCCTTGAGGGTGGAACCGTAACGGTTTGGCGGACGTGCCCGGGCTCTCACTTTGCGTCCGCCTTGGGGCGCTCCATCTGCCCTGGGCGCCGGCGCCACCGTCAGGAAGCAGACAGAGGGGGGCACGGGCCCCGGAAGACCCCAGGAGACGGCTGACTGTCTGGCGGGACCTGCCTGGGAAGGGAATGGCAGGGCCGGGGAGAGTCCCCTCCGCCCCAGCCCTTTCTGCTATCAGCACCTTCCTCAGCTAGAACTGCTGACAGTGCAGGCCTGGGCAAGGGAGACGAGGATGGGGTGCCGGTGGGCATCCCACCGGGGCGGGCCCCTGAGACAAGGGGTGCTGACACTGGAAGCCCTGAGTGCTGTGCCGCCAGCCCCGCTCAGCTGGCTTAGCTGCAGGCAGACAAGCCAGGTGTCTGGCCTCTGGGAACCTTCATGCTCATTTTTTTGTAAAGCTCCTACCTACCACAGAGCTTTTTTTTTTTTTTTTTAATACTTCATGGAAGAATATAAACAAAAGCATTTGAAGTTCCGTATCAGTGTGAGTGTTCTTTTTGAAGTTCACTTTGAGTTTTTCACGCCACCAGAAACCTTCTCCAATTCTCAGAATTGTGTATCTGTGGGTACACAGATGGGACATGAGAATGAGTTTTTACTTGTGGGTGAATTTATTCTCAATATCATGAGCCTGTATTCTTGAATAATTTCTCAGTTATATCTAATGATCATGTCCTGGTTCTCTACTAGATAATTAAGGAGAATTAAAGTCTTAAATTTGATATTTTTAGTTGAGAGAAAACACTTTACAAATGTAAAGTGACAATGTTCTAAGCTTGGTTTGGGAGATAGAAACCTATTTCAATAGCTTTTTTAATCATTTAGACTAAAAGAACCATGGAGTTGGTATTTTATTTGAATTGTAAAAACATTTTTCTCAACATTCTGAAAACATATACTGGTTTTATATTAAATCAATTTATTGCTTATATTTGTATATTAAATAGAAGTAGCACAAAATAATCTTTCAGTAACTTGTTTTTGTCTTCCAGTGAGGATGAACTGGAAGAAACAAATGGAAATAACCCCATTGACATGGAGATTGACCAAAACAAGGAAAGCAAAAAGGAGGTATTTTTTTCCCCTAGTGTTATTAAGACAAACAAATTTCATTTACTAGTTTCAAAGTAAAGCATTCTTTTTCCTTAGTCTACTTAATATATTAAGTGCCATGTAGGAGACATCCCCAGTGGCTTAGACAGTAAAAGCGTCTGCCTACAATGCGGGAGACCCAGGTTTGATCCTTGGGTTGGGAAGATCCCCTGGAGAAGGAAATGGCACCCCACTCCAGTATTCTTGCCTGGAAAATCCCATGGACAGAGGAGCCTGGCAGGCTACAGTCCACGGGGTCACAAAGAGAGTTGGACATGACTGAGCGACTTCACTTTCAGGAGACATCATGGTATGTATGAGTATGTATGTATGTATTAACCTTGCTTTATAGAATTCAGAGTTTTGTTTGCCAAGAAATATAAGAAAGAAAGCCTTAAAGGGGAAAATGGCATTGATGAGAGGTGTTCTGTAGGGTAGCAGTCCTTACTGCCCTCTTTGCTGGGCGCTCGCTCAGCAGGTTAGGAAGGGGCCTCTTGCCCTCCTCTCAGCCCTGGACCTCCTTCCTCCTGTGGGCGCCCAGGGCCTGTGCCCTCTGGGTCATGGAGAAACTTTAATCCCTCATGTTTTAAAAACCATGATGCCAGAGGTTTTCAGTCTCTCGATTCAAGAGGCCCATAAGCCCCTACAATTATATATGACTTCGGGGGATATATTTATAGCATTTATTTATTATAAACTGTTCATTGAGAACAATGGGGTGTCTGGGTGATCTTAGCCTTTGAAATGGGGGTGATAAACTTGAATTATTTTGCTGATTCATAACTGAATAAAGCACACATGGGGTCCCCGAGGACCCTCTGAGGACACCAGGCCTTGTCACCATGGCCCAGTGGAAACCCCCCACAATACAGACCTGCCTGCAGGTGGTCCTTGATGCGGCCCCCACTACCTGGGCAGAGGTCCCAAGCCCCCTGGTGTCTGTCCGCTGGAGTCCCATCCAGGCTGGAGTGTGGAATCCCAGCGTGGGTATTACTTGTACATGTGTTTAAATAAGTGTCTGTAGTTTCATTAAAATCTAAAAGGTTTTCTGTCTCAGAAGGTACTGAACTATGAAAAAAACGATGAAAGAGTCTAGACATACCTAAACTAAAAATACACCAGTAATAAATTCTTTTTTATAGATAGGTAGGAAATACAGCTAAACAAAAGGGAAAAAATGAAAATGATTTATAATATCATCACCCTTTATCAGGGCTTCCGGATGGCTCAGCAGTAAAGAAGCCGCCTGCCAGTGCAGGAGTGAAAGTGAAAGTCGCTCAGGCTTGTCTGACTCTTTGCGACCCCCTGGACTATACGGTCCACGGAATTCTCCAGGCCAGAATACTGGAGTGGGCAGCCTTTCCCTTCTCCAGTGGATCTTCCCAACCCAGGAATCTGACCCAGGGTCTCCTACACCACAGGCAGATTCTTAACTAGCTGAGCCACCAGGAAAACCTGCCAGTGCAGGGGGCATGGGTTTAACCCCTGGGTCAGGGAGATCCCCTGGAGGAGGAAATGGCAACCCACTCCAGTACTCTTGCCTAGAGAATCCCCTGGACAGAGGAGCCTGGTGGGCTACAGTCCATGGGGATGCAGAGAGTCAGACACAACTGAAGTGACTGAGCATGTGCCCATTATCACTGTTAACATTTTGGTGACACTTTCCAGATGACCTCCTTTGTAAAATATATATGTGTGCCTGCTCAGTCATTTCAATCATGTCTGACTCTTTGCCACCCTATGGACTGTAGCCTGCCAGGCTTCTCTGTCCATGGATTCTCCAAGCAAGAATACTAAAGTGGGTTGTTGTGCCATATATATAGTTCCCTGTGCTATATAGTAGGACCATGTTTTTGCATTAAATATATAATAGCTTGCCTCTGCTAGTCCCAAACTCCCAATCCAACCTCCTCTCCCCCCAGCAACCACAAGTCTGTTCTGTATGTGATTCTGTTTGTTTCATAGATAGGGTCATTTGTGTTCTATTTTAGATTCCACATATAAATGAAATCGTGTGATACTTGTCTTTCTCTGTGTTGCTTCACTTAGTATGATATTCTCTCGTTGCAGTCCTGTTGTGGTAGATAGCATTGTTTCCTTTCTTATGGCTGAGTAATTGTCTTCCGCTCTTCCCCAATAGCATGTTGGACACCTTCCAACCTGGGGAGGGTCTCATCTTTCGGTGTCATATCTTTTTGCCTTTTTATACTGTTCATGAGGTTCTCCTGGCTAGTATGCTGAGCTGGTGGTGGTTTGCCATTCCCTCCTCCAGTGGATCACATTTTGTCAGAACTCTCTGCTATGACCTGTCCGTCTTGGGTGGCCCTACACAGCATGGCTTGTAGCCTCATTGAGTTACACAAGCCCTTCACCATGATAAGGCAGTGATTCCTATATATATGTACCACACCTTTTTTTATCCTTTCATCTTGTTAGCAGACACTTGGGTTGTCTCCATGTCTTGTCTATTGTGAACAAGTGCTGCTGTGAACAGAGGGGTGCATGTATCTTTCGAATTACAGATTTGTCCTTATATATGCCCAGGAGTGGGATCACTGGATCATATGGCAACACTATTTTTAGGTTCTTGAGGAATGTCACTGCTAAACCTGGATGTATTTTTATGTCAAACATATTTGTATGCATAGCAGTATGTTTGTTATTCTTTCATACAAATCTTTTATAATTGAGTTAATTTATACAGATTTTTAAGTCTTTTTCCCTATAATTAATGCTGAAATCTGATATCATAGCTACATATTTGTGCACTTAATTTTTTCCATTAGAATTAATTTCTGGAAGTTGAATTATTGAGTCAGAATGTTCTAGATATATTCTTAAGGCTTCTTTTGGCATAGTATATTATTATCAAATAGGAAACTGGTCATACCTTCTGGATGGCACTCTTACCAGTGGTCTATATGAGTGCCCAACTCATTTTAAGGATTAGTTAAATTACATTGTTTGCAAAATCAACTTGAACTTGCAGTTTTTAATAAGCTTTGTTTTTGATGCATTGTTATTTATTAGGTATTCAGTGGAACATTTTAAATGAAAGAGAAGAGGCTTGGTTTTATATTAATTTCCATAATTCTTATTTATATAGCACAATTTCTAACTTGAAAATAAAAATGATTAGTTTCTTAGCGTGCTAAGATGTATGAAAACAGACTTGGTCAGTAGGTGATCTATACTGACCAGCACTGTGCTATTATAGAATATAGATGATTGCTGACTCAGATTTTTATGTGTTGTTTATTACCACTTGTTTGAGAGCTTATTGCTACCATCATAGTCTGCATGGTCTTTTTATCTGTCTTAACATGTGAAGCAACAAGCTTGAATGTATTTTCAGCTTTACCAGCCAGTGTTAATAGACTAACAAGATGAGATTATAATTAGTTAACCTAAACTTCTTGTTAAGATGGTTACCAATAAGATGATATCCTTTCCTTGCCAAGATGTGAGTGCATTTCATTTCCAAAGGTTTTGGTTTTAGAAAGAGCATTTTTAAAAATAAGCAGCAGTCACACATTTCTAAATGACAGGTTATAGTTTTTGAAGCAGGTTACATGCCATGAAAAGTGTGTCATCCCAAAAAAGGGGTATATAAACAAGTTTCATATTGAAGTTTTTATTTTTATAACCTTCTATAAAGATTTAAGGAATTTAAATGGATCCTTATACATGTGCTGAATCATTTTTTTTTCTTTCTGTGGCCATATGTCTGTCTACATTGCTAGGGACTGTTAGGATGAAATCATTCTTTATTCGTATATACACAGCTCACCAGAAGGGAGCACAGGTTATTTTTTTCCCTCTATTCCTCCCAGAAGCTGGGAAGCTGGGAATGCTTCTTGTCAGAGGTTTATAGAATAAAGATGTGTCTGTAAAGAAAGGAAGTGGAGTCCACTTCGAGTTGTTTATTTAGCTAGTGTTCTTTGTCTATTAACTGTGTTTTAGAATTTGTGGATGGTTATTTTGGTGTGGCATGGTATTTGTCTTAGATTGTTTGGAGCCATGTTAAAATATGCTTATTGCTATTCATTTGGCATTTTAATTTTTTCAGTTATCATTTATCAAATATGTGTACCATGCAGGTGCCCCCTACTGAGACGATTCCTCAGATCAAAAAGGAAAAACATAGTACTCAAGCTAAAAATAGAGCAAAAAGGAAACCTCCAAAAGGAATGTTTCTTTCTCAAGAAGACGTGGAGGCTGTTTCTGCCAATGCCACTGCTGCTACCACGGTGCTGAGACAACTGGACCTGGAGCTGGTGTCAATCAAACGACAGGTGCCATGCACCCCATCCTGGCGAAGAGTGCCTTGCACTGCAGCCGTGCTCTCGCTGCTCACTCGCTTCACAAATCTCAGAGGGGTGTTCTGTTTCTAAGGAATTGGACAGAGGCTCTTAAGCCCGTTGATTTTTTTTTTTCTCCTAACTTAACCATGAAATTGAAATTTTACATATCTGTATCGATCTAGATACAGATCTCAGTGATTTTCATAACATGAACACACCCACGTTGCCCATGTCTGGTCAAGACCTGGAACCTGGTGATCTCCGGCACCCCATTCATCTCCCCTTAGTCCCTGCTCCTGTTTCACTTTGAGTTTGGGTTGTCTCCCCTTGTCGGCTGTTAACACTGGATACAGACAGGAACGTGGCTGATGTGCCTCTCGGTGCGTTGTGTGTGTGCTTGTTGGAGACACCCCTCGGTGCGGTTGCCAGGTGGTTACGTGCACCCGTCCAGCACTAGAGCACTGTCTCCCAGGCTGGTTATGCTGCTGTGTGTGAGTGTTGGCTGCACCACTGCAGGATTTCCTGATCGTAGCGCAGCTGACTTTTGGGGCCAGATAACTCTTCTTGTGGGGAGTTGTTCTGTGTCTTGCAGGACATTAGCAGCAGCTTTGCTTCCACCCACTGGACACCAGCAGCACCTCCCCCCACCGCTCTGTTGTGACCATGTTGTGGAATTACGGGGCTGGCAGGGGGTTGTCTCACATTCCCATTTGGAGGCCTGCCTTTTCACTCACTCAGTGGTATTTTTTTTTTTTTCCCCCTTAGTATTTGTTTATTTGGCTGCACCAGGTCTTAGTTGTGGCATGCGAATTCTCAGGTGCGGCTGTGAGATCTAGTTCCCTTACCAGGGGTCGAACCTGGATCTCCTGCATTGAGAGTGCAGAGTCTTAGCCACTGGACTGCCCCCAGTCCCTCCAAGTGGTATCTTTGATGAACTGATGCTCTTCATTTTGAGGTGGTCCAGTTTCTTGTTCTTGTCTTGTGTGGTGGGTGCTCTCAGGTTCTGTTAGGAACCCTTCCTGAGGTCATGAGGCACTGTGTTACAAGCTTTGTTTTGCCTTTTGATCTTCAGTTTACCTGGCGTGTTTTTCTTTGTTGTTACGTGTAGGGTTTTTTTTTTTTTTTTACATGACTATCTAGTTTACCAAGCGCTATTCATTAAAGACTGCCCTCTTCCTGTCAGAAGGCAGTGGGACCTTTGTTTTAAATCTAGTGTCCATCGTGTGTATGGGTCGCGTTTGGAGCTGTGTTTGTCCTTTCTTCACCAGCACCGCGTGGTCCTGGCGACACAGGTTATAAATGGCGCTTCGTGGTAGGGGAGTCTTCCAACGTTGTCATGGATCCCTGCCCTTGTGTTTCCATATAAAACTTAGAATCACCTTCTCAATTTCCAGAAAAGTAACTCTACTAGAGTTTTGATTGGGATGGTGTTGAATCTATAGATCAAGATAGAGAGTTAACATCTTCTCACCCAGGAACGTGATTTGTCCCTGCACTTCTGTGATCTTGTTTCTTCCAGAATTTTGTGGTTCTTAATGGGAACAAGTCTTCGGTTTCCTTCATTAGAGTTACTCCTACATGTTTGGTACTTTTTTGGTGCTCTTGTAAAGAATAGTGCTTCTAAAATGAATCCTTTCCTGATTATTTGTGCCTCGTGTGGGAAATGACTCATCCTTTTGGTCTGATTTTGCATAGAAGTCAAACTGAAAAGTCAGCCGAGTAGCCCAGTGTTGTCCTTGCCTTAGTCATCTCCCCCCACCCCCACCCTGACTTCAAGGTGAGCTGTGGACTGGCAGTTCTTGCTGCTTGGACGAGATGAGAAGAGCAGGGTGGCCTGCTCTATGGCCCGTCTGTCCTCTGGTGCAGGAGGCGCACAACCCAGGACCGAGCCAGCCCCACGGACTCATGGGCTTGGCCATCTGTCCCAGCTGCTGGCAGAGCTGTATTCTAATCTTAGGAGAATCAGTTAATCTTTCTGGGCCTCTTCTCAAACAAGGAGATTCATCCTTGTCTGCCTGATGGTACAGGATGCATGAGGACTTGGCACGCTGCGTGTGTGGGGGGAGGGCTCTCCGGTTAGGGCTGAGGCCCCCCTCTGCGTTTCATTTCCCTCTCCCGGGGCTTCAGGCCCGCAGCCAGGTGAGTGTCTGATGCTGGCTGTGCAGTATCAACATGGAAAAGGGATGAGGCCCTTTCGCACAGAGCTGTTAGTGACTCTGTTGTCTGGTAGATAGAGAGCCTTCAGTTTTCAGAGCCAGGATCAAGAGCAGGAATGTTTTATTTGAAGGTAGCTGGCCAGAGTTGACATTACGAAAGAGTGAATTCTCAGTCTTCAGTTACTGGGAGGTGAGGCCGGTGGTTTGCAGTCTGCAGCCTTTAACTCTCCTGCCAGCTGCACTCCCGGACGTCCATGGCAGTCTGTCACACGGTGGGCCTTGTGTTCTGGGTGCCCCCGCATCTGGTCGTGTATCAGGGACACATTCATCCAATGGTAACAGAAAACGTGACTAACAGTGGCTCAAACGGTGAGCTGTTTGTTTCTTTTTTCTTTTTTTAAAATAGCAAGAAATTCCAATGTTAGTGGCTGCTGATTAGTTCCTCTGTTCAGCGCTGCCCTCGGAGGCCCCAGGTTCTTTCAGAGTTCCCTGCATCCTTAGCTTCTAGGGTTTTCATCTTGCTTGGTGGCCTCATGCTGGATGCTGTAGAAGCCATTTCATCACCTTTGGGTCTGCATTCAGGGCAGTAAGAAGAAGGGGGACGCGGAGCTGACCCTTCTGTCCCTTTCAGCAGGAAAAGCTCTTGCCTCCCCAGAACCTCCCAGACATTCTATGTGCCAGGGCTCTGCAGCCCAGCTCCTCCCAGCTCCTCGGAGATCCTCATTCGCTGTCAAAGATACAAGTGGGACGGGGACTGGGGACAGGTTAGCTAACAGACACTGCCTGTTGCATCAGGACTTGTTGGGTGGAGGGAATGAAAAGGTCTGACGTTAGAGAAGAATCACCCAGTAAAGCAGGAAAAAGAAAGTTATGTTCAGCCAGGAGCCCTTGGTAAGACACCAAGCCAAGTGGACTGCTTTGTTTGGTTCTTTTTTCCATGCTGGTTACTTTCTTATCCTGTCTTATCCAGCTGGTTGCCACTCTGGCTTCCTTTCCAGTTGGCATAATTCTGTCAACTAACCCCTGTTCTTACACTGATTAGTAAACACAAATGATTAGAAGGCCTGTAGGTAAATGAGAATATTGAGCTAACTTTTAGTTCAGAACTTGTGGATATTTTACCTTGTAGCCACTCATTTAATGTCTATGCTTTTTTATCAAAAACACTGACTTTAGAAAATGCATATGTTACTTAAACAGATTGGTCTCCTTGGAAGATGCATGTCACTTAATCCCAATGCAATATAGATAGATAAATCTCATGCACTCTCTCAGCTTTGTATCATATATTATAAACAACCAGCTAGAATGAATAGAGTAACTGGAGTGCCTGAGGAGAGGGCAAAACATGGGGTATTTTAGACCCCTGACTTGAGAATTTGCTCATTGCATGTTGGAAGTTTCTAGGCCTCATTTTCAGAATTCAGGGAACATAATCTCAGTGCCTTGCAGTATTTTGTGGGTTGCTGGTAACTGCAAGGTCTGAGAAGAATCTAAGATTGTGCTCTTTATTATCAGAGAGTGTTCTGTTAAGTAATGCTGGTCTGAGAGCTTGGAATTACTTATTCTGAGTAAGTTTCAGATATTTTCTTCTGATTTATACCTTTTCAAAATAAACTAAAGCAAATTTCAGTAAAGCACAGTCAGAGTTTATGGTTTTTACTGTAGAGTAAATTTTGTGCATGTTTCCAGTATTTTTCTTTTCAGTTGCTTTTGTGTTCTGATGTGGCATTGTTATCAAAAGATTTGGAGTGGGCTGCATGTCTGGTAGACTTTGAGGCTCTTACTAAAGGCAGACAGGGTCGGCTCTGGTCCATAGGAGTGCTGGTCTTATTTACTTGCCTGCTGGTCCCATAGGATCGAAAAATCTTTCCTGTACCCCTGCCCCCCCGCCCGAAGCCTTTAAACCTTTGAGAAGTAAAACAAAGGAGAGGATCTGTGAAACTGGCAATTGATGAAATATAAGTAGTTGAAAGTGGGATTTTTGAAAATTGTTTAAGTATGAAAAGTTTTTAGAGAGACAAGTATTAGAAGTGCCCATATGACAGTATCTCCACTCATCTCCCACCTCTTCCCTGGCTCTGAGAGTGCTGCTTTTCTTCATTTGCCTAGGGCACTTTCTGCTCACAAAATGTTTTTGATGTTTCCCTTGGGAAATTGAACTTGTTCCTCTGCTTGCTTGCTTATTTGCTCAAGTGATCTTCAAGAATGAAAATGCCAGGGCCAGAGTTCCCCTGGTGCTTGGCACAGAAATTCCCCTCTGCCTAGAGTGGAGTGAGAAGGGCCCTATCTGTGACCCAGCTTGCTCAGGAGTCTGAGCAGAATTAAGGAGCATCCCTGGATTGATGCAATGGTTTGTCCTGTTGTGTCTTTCTTTTGATTAGGCAAGCTCAGTGAAAGATTAGGTCCACTGAATCAAAGCAAGAATGTGGAAAAAATAATTTGTGAGAAAATGAAGAAGTTACAGTTGCTCAAAATTAGGCTCGTGGAAAAATAGCATTTTTTTCCCCCCTCCCCATTAAAGAAGTCTGAAAGGTGGGCTTCTGCCTTCACCCTGCCTGCTCTGTGCCTTCAGCTCCATTCTGTATGTTGGGGGCCCAGGCGCTGTGTTTGGTGTCAGACTCAGGTTGTGTCTTCTGTTGCCCAGGTGGACACCTGTTAACGAGCTATTGGATTAGGATTGTGTGTGCAGGAACCTTCTTACCACCCTCCCTTTCTTATTTGTTCCTTGTCTGTTGCCCTCAGCAAGTTAATTAAAACATCTATTAATAGTTAGCTGCTCTCAAAGGATGCAATAGGGACCTTGTATTTGGGGCTGTCGTATAGACTAGGAACTTCTTTCCTCTTGGTTTTTTGTTTCTTTTAACTTTCGTAGTTTTGTTTTCTTTTCATACCTTTATAAAAGTCTTTCATTTTTAAAACGAGAATCTTGTTTCTCTTAGATTCAGAATATTAAACAGACGAACAGTGCTCTAAAAGAAAAACTTGATGGTGGAATAGAACCATACCGACTTCCAGAGGTAAGATTATGTAAATATCATCTTTGAAGTTACACCCGAGTTTATCTGTTTAAGAATTTACTTGTTTAATTTACTTGTTTAAGAATTTACTTGTGTCTCCAGTACATATCTCCTAGAAGGAAGGGTATAGACATCATTTATTATAACTCTAGTTGATGTTAACATTCTGATAGAAGATTGATTAATCCTCATAAGGACATGCCTGTGCCTAAATGTAGTATGCTAACAGGACTCATTTGGATGTCCAGGTCATTCAGAAATGCAACGCCCGCTGGACCACGGAAGAGCAACTGCTCGCTGTACAAGGTAGGAAGCTTGTACTTATAAACAAGAAGCTTGTACTTATAAACAAGAAGCTCTGCTTATAAACAGAGAGCTTAGGCAGAGCAGTCGCCTCAGGAGGGAGTTGTGCCCCAGCCTGCTCCCAGCACATCACTCACCTTTTAACAGACTCCTGTGAGCTTATATCCTTCTAGCGGACATCATATTAGCTGAATTTCTGCATTCCCTTTGGGCTTTGCTTTTTTCCTTTTTTTACATCTCACAAGATGTAAAAATTAATCTGGAAGTCTCAGTGTCTAAAGGCATATTTCATTTTAGCAGCTGCTTGTTTGGTTCTGAGTAGTCAGAAAGGGCAGATTGAGGGTTAGGTCTGTAAGGTTGGAGGTGTTCTAGTCCTGGGACCCTGGAAAGGCCAGTGTGGAATGTCCACAGCACAGGATAGCTGCTGGGTGACCTCAGTCATACCATATGGTGTGTGGTGAGAAGGTGCAGACCCTACATGACAGGTCATGCAGACTGTGACTGATCTTGCACATGGACTGTGTGACCGGCCTCGCTCGCGGCCCATGTGACCGCTCTCACTCACAGACCGTGTGACTACTTTTGCTCTCGGCCTGTGTGACCAGTCTCGCTCGTGGACTGGTCTTGCTCGCGGACCATGTGACCGGTCTCGCACGTGGACCGTGTGACCGATCTTGCACGCGGCCCGTGTGACCGGTCTCGCTCGTGGACTGCCGTGCTGCTCTTCCAGTTGGTTTCTACGCTAAGATAGTGTCTGCTGTTAGGAGCCCCCATGCTGCCTTATCTGGATCAGGGGTGAGTCTCAAGTGTGTGTGTGAGTGTGTGTTTTATTATTTTTCTCTTGTGTTGAAAAAGACACTTTCTTCCATCCTTAGCCATCAGGAAATACGGCCGAGATTTCCAGGCCATCTCAGATGTGATTGGGAACAAATCAGTGGTGCAAGTGAAAAACTTTTTTGTAAATTATCGACGCCGCTTCAACATAGATGAAGTTTTACAAGAATGGGAGGCAGAGCACGGGAAAGAAGAGAATGGTCCCAGTAACCAGAAACCTGTCAAGTCCCCAGACAGCTCCATCAAGGTGCCTGAGGAGGACGACGAGGTGAGTCTGAAGGAGCTGGTCTCTGCAGGATTCATGCTCGACCTCCAGTTACTTTCTTCACTGATGACCTTTTCCAGCTGTAGAAGTAGATTTAGGCTTCAGCTGTGTCAGTAATGACTCTCACCCATAAATGCTGTAATATATGTTGACTTTAGTCACTTCTTGGTCACTGTGTACGTTATTCACATTTTAACTCCTGGACAAATTCTTAAGTCCACCCTGCTTTCTCTAGCCACAGAATATTTCACATTATCAGTATTTCCTTAAATACAGTAACCACTTGGCCCTAAGACAGTAAGTTAGAAGTGCCTTGAGGATCAGTCGTGTGAAGTGTATGTCATCCCCTGTGAGGTGTGTGAGCTCACAGGGGCGTCTGCAGGCTCCTGGCGTGTCTCTGCTGCCACACCTCCAGCCTGGCTGATGTTGGGGGCCACCAGCTGAAGGACTGATGGGGACAAGTCTAGGTCCTGGGTTGCCTGGCATTTCCAGAGTGGAACTGACACTCCTGTGACCTCCTGGGTGGTGGCACTGAGTCTGCTGACCCAGCAGTCAGAGATTGAGGGGAGATTGCTGAGGCTGCAGGGGCCGTCTGCTGCCTGCCTACTTCCTGCATGCTCACCCTTCCCCACAGACAGTGCACAGGGCTAGGGGATGGGAGTACACGACATCCACTTTATTTTTGCACTTGTTCACTGACATAGTAGGCTTCCCTGGTGGCTCAGTTGGTAAAGAATCCACCTGCAATGCAGGAGACCTGGGTTTGATTTCTGGGTCAGGAAGATCCACTGGAGAAGGGATAGGCTACCCACTCCAGTGTTCTTGGGCTTCCCCTGTGGCTCAACTGGTAAAGAATCCACCTGCAATGTGGGAGACATGGGTTTGATCCCTGGGTCGGGAAGATCCCCAGAGAAGGGAAAGGCCACCCTCTCCAGTATCCTGGCCTGGAGAATTCTAATGTGAGGATTAATTTACTCATCACTTTATCATCAAAATCTTCCCCAAATGAGGCAGGAAGGACTTGAAGTTACTTCTTTTGTGTTGTTCTGTGACTCTTTGCTCCCAGAGCCTGGCTGCAGAACTTGGAGGCCCCCAACGTGTGTGTGCATGAGCCTTGTGAGGAGGGTGCCCTGAGAGCACAGCTCCGCCAGCCACCCCCAACCCCCACGTCCATGTGCCAGTTTGAGAAAGGGCCTTGAGGCATCTACACCTGTCAGAAGACATAGTTTTAAAAGCATACTAATTTTATTAGACTGTTTAGATTTTGCTACCAGAAAATATTTGCAGTTGTGTGCACAGTCTCTAGTACTGGCAGTGTAGGTGGTTCCTCGACTCACACCCGCCCAGCCCAGCCTGCCCACGAACAGGACAGCACAGGAGCAATAGATGTGTTTCTATCTTGGGGCAGTGACTTTGTCTGACAGCTAGTTGCCCTGTTAACAACAGATTACCTTCCCTGAAGTCCTGGACTCAGTTCAGGAAGCATTGAGAACATGAGGATTACTGGGGAAGGGCCATTAGAACTTGGAGAATGAAAGCTTTCTTCTAGATCTGTTTTCTGACTTAAGGCTCATGAAGCAGAAATGAGAGGAAGCTCAGATCTCTTCCCTCTTCAGGTTTCATCATAGCCGGCCCCAACAGAGTTAGCATGAAAAATGTGATCGCAGGTTGAGGACCCAGAGTGGTCATCATTCATGATCCGTTGATGTGGCTTAATCTGTCAGCTGACGTTTCCTCCTGTCTTGCTAGCTCAGAAGGCCTGTCCTTCCTTTTCTTCAGTCCCTTTCTTCTTATGCTTCTTAAGGCACCAGGCCTCCTGCTTTGCCACCTTGGTTTTCCAGTCTCTGTATGATAGCCGGCAGAAGGAAATTAATCTTTAAGGACCAGCTGCTTCTCTGTGTCCACCAAGGGCCTAAGGGAACTGGCTAATTGTCTGTCTGATCAGTGCTCAGAACTTAGTGCGCTTGTAACTTCTCCATTTCTGTGGAGGCCAGCAGCTAAGAAAGATGTCTGCTGGTGTCCAGCCTGCCCGTGGGTCTTGCCTGTTTATGCAGTGCAGACAGATTTGAAAATTTCATGGCTGTCTGTTAGCTATGGGCTTTCTTCCTTTGGAGCTGAGGAGGCAGAGTAGCCCACGAGGGTTGAGCGTGTGAGACTCAGGGTTCTCTGGGGAGGGGCGGGTACAGATGGAGTCTGGGGAGGTGTCAGAAAGGCATGGAATGACGCTGAAGGTGACTGGTTTGAAGGTAAACATTCTCACTTAAAAGTGTAGAGCGATTGAGTGTATTACTATTAAGGAGAAATTGATTTCATTAATAACAGTTCTCATAAATTGGGATTTCACCTGAAGGCACAGCTGTTTTCATATTTTGGACTCTAAGCTTGGCTATTTCCTTAGAAATAAGACACCACGGAGGAGCAGCAAGCTCTGAGACCCTTGATGATCTTGAGGCCTAGGTTCAGCAGTCAGTCTTTAAAAATAAGAGTAGAGAATTAGAAAGGCCTGTGAAGTTTAGAAGATCCTGCGATCTTTATGTTGTGGCTGTCTGCTGAACAGGGTGGGTGCCACACATCCCCGCCAGTGGGTGCTGGGACTCCCAGCAGTGCGCCTGCAGGCCCTGTGAGGTGGGCCGCAGTGTTGGGTACCTCCAGCTGACAAGGGCCCTGATAACTGGCCCCGGACACACAGCTGGAAGGGCAGAGCGGGGCCTGGAGGTCCAGGCACGTGGCCGTAGAGGCCTACCCACCTGCTCACGCGGCTTGGTACAGCCTCCACCTCCACGCCCTGGCCTGGGGGCCGCGGGGCCACTCCAGACCAGAGTCAGCAGTGCGTCCCGGTGACCGGTCTGTGCTTCTGTCTCCTCCTTGCTCAGGCTGCTTCTGTCCTTGACGTCAGATACGCGTCTGCCTCCTGAGACGCTCTGGTGGCCTGAGCGCTTGGTGTGGACGCCTGCATTTTCCAGGATTCAGGTACCTCCAGACTTCACCCAGCCATCCGCATCACAGCTCTGTGGACAAGCAGCTATTACCAAAAAGGCACACACTCGCAGTCCTGGGCTACACCTGCCTTAATTCTCCGCTCGTTCCTCATGTGGAGCCGCTTCCCCGAGAGTTCTCTGTGTCTCTCGCTCTGCCTCAGTGTGGGGATCCTGTGGCCTGCACGCTCCTGCGACGCCGGGCCCGCCACCCCCACGGAGCCCCGGCCCACCTACGGCAGCTCTTCCCCGTTGGCGGCTTCGGAACAAGGAGTCAGTCAGAGGTGCGACTCTGTTCCTGCATGGCCTGCAGTCCCTACTTTGTGCATAATGTACTTTTCAGAATAACTGACCTGTTGGCCTTCTGGGAAGTTTCCTTTGTTCTTTTTTGAGGCATCCACCTAAGTGATATCATGCTTCTTCGGAAATCCTGCATATTGGCGACTGCGTCATAACCTTTATCGTGCCAAACAGCTTGATACAACTCCCCTTTCCCTCAATGTAGGTATAATTATGGTCTATAAATTCACTTGGCTTAAATCTCTCCCCTCTCCTGCCCACGTGGTGGAAAGCTCATTCTCTGCACTGTCCTTGGAGGATCGTGGACCCCAGCACTCGCTGCCTTCAGCATCGTCACCCCAGGATGGGCGCCGCCCCGTCTTCTCCTTCCCCTGCCCGCCCCCGACTCCCAGAGTGTCCGTACACGGTACCTGGTGCTTGTACATTGGGAATTGGTGCCTTCTCCTTTCGGCAACCATGTTTTCAACCCTCTTTTCTGTTTCAGTGTCTTAATTCTTCTTTAAAGTTGATTGCTTGCCAAAGATGACATCACTGAGATGAGGAGATGGGGAGGCCTTGCTGCAGGTGCTTGACAGAGTGCCGACACTCGATGTCACAGTGGGTGGTAATAAGGGGCATGAGGCTGGCTGGCGATGGTTTTCTCAAAGCTCCGTGCTCTTTGAGTGCTGTCCTCTTGGTACGCCTGGCCTCTTTCCCGTCTCTCCACGCAGCCTCTTGTCTGTCACGTGCTGGCCATGCAGGCATCCCCCCTTTGATATTACAGAACAGGCAGGGACGTGCTCGGTCACTGGTTCTAGTGAGTCCAGGTGGGAAGAAACCATCTCCAAAGGGGTATGTGATGCCTTTTGGTTGGGCTGGGAACAAGTACAGACATGTAACAAATGTTCTAAAACTTGCAGAATCACTTTTATTCTCTTGCCAGACCGTGGGCCTGTGGAGGGGCTGAGGATGGACTGCGCCATGCCTCCTGGTGTGCCCCGTTCCCTGGCCCGTGGTTGGTTCAGTCTGCACTAAATACGTGGAAGGAGTTTTTTTGTTGTTGGTTTTTGCATCAATGAAGTATTTTTTGTGCTTTCAATACCAAAAAGAAAAAAATTCCAGATGCTTTAAGGCATAAACAATTCTTAAGAATTTGAAATATGCAATTAAAATTTGTTGTTTTGACTCCCACACACCTTGTTTTTTTTTTTTTCCCCTCGCTTTTTTTTTCTCTCTCTCTTTTTTTTTTTTTTTTAAAGTCAGCTGATTTTCTCTTTAGGAAGAAGGTCAGCAAGACACCTAGAATGTTTGGAATTGTACTTCTTTTTTTGAAATCTGGAGAAAGGTTATCAGGAGGGGAGTGATTCGGGCCTTTTCTGGTGCCCATCCCCTGTCCCTACACACAGTGTCTGTGGGTCACGTGAGGGCTGGTGAGGAAGAGCCTCCAAGGAGCTGGGCGCCCCTGCCGCTCCTGCCAGGTGGGCAGCAGTCACAGCGGTCACTCTGCAGGGTCCATTCTGTCTTTGTCCTGAGCCTGCCGCCTAATTGGAACGTGGCAGGAAAACACGGGCAAGAGGTGGCAGGAGTTTTGCACGTTGCCGAAAGAGGATGGCAGGCGTGAAGAGGCTTCTGCTGCGTCTAGCCTCTTCTCCAGACCTCCTTCCTCGTTAGAGAAGCAGTGGGCACCTTGCTGCAGCGCTCTCTCTGCCAGCCGTGCTTCCTCTCTTCACCCCCAGGCTCTTTCCCTCGAGAGTCGATCCCGCTTGGCAGTGCTTCCGGGCTGGTGCTGGTCTGTGCTGCGCAGCAGGCACACCAGCAGGGCCAGGCCCGTCTGTGCTCAGACGTCCTCTGACCTGGCTCCTGGCAGCAGGTGGTCTCCAGTCCCGAAGAGTCACGGTGCTGGTGTACTTGCCATCATGGCCACTGAGTTTTGGCTTTCTCGCCTTGGGAAAGGGGTGTGTTGTTTTCATTTGCTAGAAGGATAAAAGGTAGTTGTCTTTGCCTGACTGCCTTTGTTGTAGTTTCATGCATAAGATAGCACTGTGTTTTAAACTGTTTCATTACACTGTCTTTGCAATGATGTTGTAAATGCAAGAAATCACTTCCCTTTAGAAGCGAAGTGGTTTGGTCTTATTTATGGGACGACCCTTTTTAACATACCAAGACTTGGGTGCGTCAGCAGGTTGTGTTTGGATGTGTAAGGGTCCATGATGACAGCTGCTTCAGATGCAGTGTTCACTTAAGCTTTGTCTTCTTAAAAATTAGCAATGTGAATGTCATAATTATATATATTTTTTGTGGAAAATTTCTCCTAAGTTATTGTGCAAAATATAGTACCATTGAAGCAAATGATAGTTTACCTTTTAGTTTAGAAATCCTGAAAGATATAAATTGTATTGCATATGCATTAAAAGTTTGTTTTATTTAATTTTATGTAGATGTGTAAAGTGTTAGGTAAACATTTTTTCACTTACTCATTTGAACACCTTGTTACTTGAATATTGTTTTGACTGGTCTGAAACAGTGATGGATTCTGTAGGATCGCTCCGTGAGCAGGAAGCAGCCCCACCTGCTCTTGCTGAGCGGGGAGCCGTGGGGAGGCAGCGCCCAAGTCGGCCGGACCCTGAGGTTAGTGTAAACCGCCTGCCTCCCCGTGTCATCTCCGTGCGTCCGTGCCTACCAGACATCATCAGTTCCTCAGGATGGCTTTGGATAGTTTTTAACCTGCCAGATCCTTTGATGGTCGTAAACCTCTGATCAAAAAATGAGAAAGAAAAAGTAGTTGAGTTTGAAAAGCTTACTGTTACCACACACCACTCTTAAGTGTGCTCGTTGTCACTTTAATTTCAACTATGCCCTATTTTTGTCTTTCTGATTATCAGATTGTACTATTGGTATAATTGCATACCAAAAATAAGCCAAATAGTGCATTACACTAACTGGATCCCTGCTTATATGAGCAAAGGTCGGATGGAGCCAGCTCACCCGAGAGCCTCGTGTTTCTTGTCTAGCCTGATCTAAACTGAGTGACCCCGGATTCAAGCTTGTGATATCAAGTAAGACTTTATCTCAAGTTGACTTGAGGTGGTTAGCTAATTTGAATCTAGTGATCTTGTGCAATGCTCAAAACAAATCCTCTTTCTGCCACTCCCCGGATCTCTGCAGCTTTTCCTTCTTATAGTGAAGCACAATTGCAGTAACGTTACAGTCCAGCGAAGGAAGGTCAGTACAGCCTATGCATGTTGTATGATAATGAGTGTTTACAGCCCTTCTCCTGAACTCAAGTCTGTCCTGGAGCAGGTGGTATTCCATTACGTAGACTTACCAACTTTGCTAAGTGCTTTTTAGATTGCTTAATTTTTTCAAGATTTTAAAAGATGTATAAGGTTAAGTTTGCAAATATAATGGAAATGCTGTATATCTTTTGAAGTGATAAAAATCCATGTTGGAATTTTAAAGAAAATATGTTGTAATAATGCTGTTGTAAGTAATATTTTAATGTCTCTTTTTGCCTGTTTTCTATTTCAGCACATTCATTGTGGTGAATGTTCATAGCATTATAATTGCTTAGCCATTGAATGATAACATTTGTTAGTAGAGACTGAAAATTTTATTTGTGAAACTCTGCAGAATTCATTTTTCTATTTCCAATATTTGCTGAAGTTAAATAAAAATTTTCAAGCCATTGATGTAATAAAATATGAAACAAAAGACTGTTCTGACCCACCAGGCCCCATCAAAGCAGCACCCCACCCTGACTGATACCAACTGGGTTTTCCCTGCCTCTTGCTCGGGGCCTTTGGGTTTCTGAAAGCGTCCGTTCCCCAGCACTGCACGCTGTGGGAGCACACAGCCAGCGGTGCTTTTGTTTTTAACCATTAGATCTACCTGAACTACAATTTTTATTTTATAATATATGATGATATTATGATTGGGATCAAATCAATGGACATGAATTCATTATGTTTGTGATAGTTGAGGACTTAAGTGTGTAGGTTTGATTAGAGGAATTTTTTTCCTGTTGGTGGTTTTTCTCTTCTTGGCTCCACTGGGCTTTGACTCCTGGCTGCCGGCCTCAGCACAGACTCAGGACTATGGCAGAGAAGAGGCGAGATGACTGTTTGTGTTGCCTCTGGTCAGCCCAGTGGACACAGCCCAGATCTCAGCACCTCGCTGAGTCACATGAGGACTTTGTGAATGCCCCGTGGCCGTCTCTGTGGTCCTTTCTAGCCGGAATGTAGGATTTGGTTAGATAATGCTTGTATAAAAATCAGCCTTGCCTCGCACAACATGTAAAACACGTGGGTCAGCTTGCTCTGTGTGGTGACTTCCCTTAATGAATGGGGTTTGCATGATGCTGCCAGGGGTTGGCCCCTGGGAAAGGAGCTCAGAGGCTCAGAGACCTCAGCCCGTGTCTCTGGAGGCGACTCCGGTCCAGACCCAGAGGGAGCCAGTGCCAAGGCCAGAACCTGGGCTTTCCTCCAGGAGACAGAGGAGGAGGGAGACCAAGAGGGTGTGCGGGCAGGGACAGAGGAGGCCACATTGGCTGCTGGGGTGGGCCTGGTGAGGGCTGCTTGGGCTTCTGATGAAGTTCCCGCCCCTCACTGCGGTCTCTAAGTTCTCCTCCTCCGCATATGACACTGCTGTGTCCAGGCTCATTGAACTAGAAACACGGTGTCGCCTGCCTCTGACCCCCGCTCTAGGGCCTTCCTCCATTACTACGTCCAGTGACAGCTCAGGCCCCTCCCAGTGTCCTGAGCTGATGCTCTCGCTCCGAATTCATCTTGACCCTGACATGCCTCTCTTCCTGCTTGCTCTCACCGCACATCTCCCAGCCCAAATCAGGGCCCTTTGCTGCTCAAAACGCTCCCTCTGCCTTCCAGAAAAGCCCTTCATTCTGTCTTAAACCACATCACATGCCTACTGCAGGGCCAATCTCCGTGCTTTTCTCGAAAATGACGCGACACCACCCTGCAGGGCTCTGAAGTCCTGACCTGCAGCTCAGGCCTCCACCTTCAGCAGAGGAACCAGTCTCAGGGTCTCTGCCGCTTGCACGTCTCTGCACTTGCTCTTCATAGTGTACCACAGAGAAGTGGCTTTACATTTGCTCTTCTTTTGGGTAGCTGAATGGGTAACCAGCGTGCTTGTTAGAAAAGGCAGACAGTGGGACGTGAGCTCCCCGCCTGTGGCCTCCGGCCACTCGCCCCTTCAGGGAGCCGTGGCTCTGGCGCCTCCTTTGAGAGCGTATCAGCAGGTGTACAAGCACGCATGCTCACTTGCACGTGTGACGTACTCAGGTTTCCATGCAGATAACGTGCAGTTGTTTCTCATCAGTATGTGGGGGATTGGTTCTCGGACCCCGCAGATGCCAGCATACAGGGCACAGTCAGGTCTCCCTGGCCATGGGTTCCCCGTCCACAGGTGCAGAGGCCGGCTGCACTGTGTATACTGTTCTTACCTCGCACAGCGGTGCCTTAGTCTTCTAGACCAACCCATGGATAGGAAGTTGCTTCATTCCCTTGCACTGGCTTCATGGTATCCAGTTACGACAGTAACTGTTTATTTAAACTGTGTCATTTGATAGTGAAGAATCATGTAATATCAGCAGAGTGGAGCCAGCCTATGTCATTTTGCCTACAGGCAAGTGTAGTTGTGGGGATAAATATCTAAGATTGGAACTTGAGTCCAGAAATCGGATCACTCTGACACTTGACACGTAATGCTGTGTTTCTCTCAGAGGGGTTGTACCAGTCTCTTTCCATCGGCCGTGAATGAGGCAGCCTGTTGCCCTGTGCCCTTCCTAACACTGTGATAATTAAACGTTTTGATCCGAGGTGTTTTACAAGCTTTTCATGAGATCCAAGGCTGTCACAGTCATCTCTGTGTCCACAGCTGGCGATAACAGGCTTGTGGAATAAGGAGCTGGAAGGTCAGCACGTTGAGGAAGAAGAATGAGCGCCTGCCAGCTCTTGTGTGCAGGATGAAAGGCCCCGTTGCGGTGGCCGCCCCCGGAGGGGAGGGGGACTCAGCGGCCGCTGGTTCCGGGGCATCCAGAGATGGAAGAGCTGAGGTCTGGGGTTTTCCAGACACTTTGCTTCTTTCTGAAGCTATTTGCTTTTTTTTTTAATTGCCCAAGGACTGGGGAAAAAATGAATTGGAATTAAAGCTCTGGTGCTGGTACATTAGGAATGAGGTTGGAGAGCGCTCTGTGCAGCCTGGTTTTTGGTTCTCTGTCGCTGCCCCGCCCCCATAAGGTGCCACACGCGCTGTGCCAGCTGACCAAGGTCCTGGCCGGAGACGCTGCACAGACACCTTCCAGCCGAGACGCCACAGGCAGTGCTTCTCAGACCTAAGTGAGCCGTGGGGAGAGATGGTCCCACCTGGGGCATTGTTGGAAGGCGTCCCTGAGGAGCTGACAGCTGAAGAAGGAGTGACAGCTGGCCTGGCATCCCCACAGACCCGTGGTTTATGTGGGACTTGCCTGTTTCCTCGCCACCCCCTGAAGGGTGTTGGAACTTCCTGTGGCTCCATGGTGATCCCTGTGTCATTCTGGGTCCCCACCCAAGGCCAAGGCTGGTGAATGGCGATGCTGCTTGGAGACTGGGAGCAGTCAAGTCACCTGCAGGCACCGCACACAGACTCCCTCCTGCAGGCCGCCCTGTGGCTGTCAGTTTCAGAGGGCAGGAGGTAAGGCTGAACGCTGCCTCGTGACTCTCCAGCTGTGGTTTCTGTCTGGGATTCCCCAGCCTCGGGGCTGGGCAGCTGCTGGTGACCCCTGACCTCAGGCCAACGTCCTGCCCGAGGACAGGTGTTGCCGGAGGGGGCTCCTTGTCCTCCTGCCAAGACTCTTTCATGGAATGAAGTTATTTGGCGGACGGTGGCTCGTGACACTTAACTGATTGAAAAGTAAATCTAGCAGCAGTTAGCTCTTATATTCCGCATAATCATGAATAGGAAGTTATTTGTGGTTTTTAGTATTAATTGCTTGATTTGTTGAAGATGGTCTTGGCCTCCAAGGACCAAACATGTCTTGTTTGATGTAATGCACTTGGCAGCCTCACGCAAAGGGCCTACCATCCTGGTCTTAGAGGAGACCGAGACTAGGAGAAGAATGCCTTCCCAAGTTAGACGAGTAGAAGGGGCCTGAGTTGGGGCTGGACGTGCCAGAGGCTCTGCTCTCCTGTGTGGCCGCCTCCTCAGGCCCCGGACACGGCCTCAGTCACTCCCTCAGCCACCTCATCTTTGAAGCAGGGACGATAGCCGTCTGACCTACCCGAGGCAGAGCCCAGAGACAGCTCGGTCCAGCTCAGGGGCCTGCAGAGAGGAGATGCCCGACAGAAGGCTCACCCTTCCTTTCCACAGAGACCCGTTTTCTCAGGAGTATGTGTCGCCTCATCTCCTGCGAGCAGGGGATAAATCAAGTTTTTCACAGTTCATGGGCCTTCAGCCAGATCCCTTGTTTCTCTTCCCAAATCCCCATCTCCAGTCCTGCCCCCAGACCAGTGGCGCTCCAGTGGTTTTGGTGGCGTGCTCTTATCAGACGGGAATTTACTGACGAGGCGCCTCCATGTTCATGTACTCATTTGTAGCATTTGTACGGGCAGTGCCTATAATTAGTATGTTCAGAATTAGAAAAGACCCCGAAGCCACTTCCTCTTGTACCCTCTATTCTAGACAGCTAACTGACCCTGATGGTGCCTGGCCGTCCCTGCTCCGAGGCTCGGGAGCACTGCGCTGTGAAGGATGTGCACCCCGTCCCCCGCCCCCGTGTCTGCGGGAGCTGAGGCGGGAGCGCTGCCGTGACGTGCACAGGGTCACTCTGCCGGCAGCTGGTGGGCGCGCCTTGAGACAGCTCCTCGCCAGGCCTCCCGCTGTGGCCGCTGCCGAGTGGCCGAACTGCTGTGCGGAAGGTGAGGGATCCTCTTCAGTTTGGCTGCTCCCAAGGCCGGGCCCATTCTGAGCTCCCCCGTTGCCAACGAGCATGGTCCAGCTCCCAATCTTGAGTCCAGGCCCCAGGGCCAGTGCTAGAGTGTCCTTTCCGCCTTCAACCTCTGCTGATGCTGGCCGTGGACACTTCCTGCAAGGGAACTCATGTCTCTGGGGCTGCTTATCTAGGACGGACCCTGATTTCCTCGTTGCTGCCATCGCAACAGTTGGTTTCAGATGCCCTGCTGGTCACCGTGCACCTGCCCCTGAACCTGGATAGTGCCCAGGGATGACTGGACCTGGTGTCCAGTTTCCCTCCTCAGCTAAGGCCTGGGCACCCCCATCTCCCACGGCACCAGGCTGTCCAGAGAGGACTCTGGAAATTTCCCCACCTTGTCCCATTTCAGGCTGCCCAGCCACTGAGGTCCCCCAGGTCCTTCCCCGGGGGGTGATCTTTGGCTCCTCTGCCAGAGCCCCGGGCCTGGTGGTGCCTGGTAAGTCCTGCCCAGCAGCACCGTGAGGCCCGGGCTTCTGTCAGCGCTCTTCACAGCAGCACTGGGACGTAATTCTGCCCTGTCTGGCCCTGACCACAGAGGTGGCCCTGATGACCCCTTTCCTCTGACGTCGCTGGTAGGAAAGACTCTTGGAGGAGTGGCCCCAGTGAGTCACACCTATGAGTATCCTCATCACACACTTGTCACTCACCACAACTCTTAGTCGTGGACTTGCTTCACCCCACAGAACCTTAGCAGTAGTCGTGGACTTGCTTCACCCCACAGAACCTTAGCAGTCACAACAGGAAGGTCAGCCTGTGCTTTCTCTTGTAGCTGAACACTCTGCCACCTTATGGAGAAGCTTTGCAACCACCTTCTGTACACACTGTGAGTGTCCCAGGCAAAAAAGAAAGGGGCAGAGAGGATATTTGAAGAAATAATGGCCAAAAACTTCCCAAGCTTTAGGAAAGACATAGACCTAAACATCCAAGAAGCTCAACCAGCTCCAGGTAAGGTGAAGTCAGAGACCCACACAAAGACACGTTATAATGACTGTCAAAAGCCAAGAGAATCTGGAAAGCAGCAAGAGAAGAGAAAAGCAACTCAGCCCACATAAGGGATCCTCAGTAAGATAATGAGAAGTTTTCCCATGAGAAATATCGGAATCCAGAAGGCACAGGGTTGAGCATAACAAAAGGCATACATGAGTGAACATCATGTTCAGTGGTGAAAGAATGAAAGCACCTCCTTCAAGATCAGGAAGAAGGCAAGGATGCCTGCTTTCACCAGTGTAGTACTGGATGTCCTCACCAGAGCAGTTAAGCAATAAAAAGTAATAAGAGGCATCCAAATTGGACAGGATGAAGTAATATAAACTCTGTTCATGGATTATATGATTTTATATGTAAAAAATCCTAAAGATTCCACAAAGGAACTTAAAACCAATAAATGCAACAAAGTACCAGGATAAAAAATCAGCACACAAAAATTGGTCTATAATTTTTATACACTAACAATGAACAATCTGATAAGGAAATTAAGAAAACAGTTCCATTTACAGTGGCTTAAAAAAGAATAAAATACTGAGCAATAAATTTAACCAAGGAAGGAATAGGTTTGTACACTGGAAACTACAGAATGTTGCTGCAAGAAATTAAGGAAGACAAAAGACATCCCATGTTCATGGATTGGAAGGCTCAATATTGTTAAGATGTATAGTGAGAACATTTAAGGTCTACTCTTTACAAATTTCAAGTATAGATAATAGGATATTTATTTATTCATCAGCTTTTGGCTGTGTCAGATCTTCATGGTGGCTTGAGGGCCTAGTTGCTCCACAGCAGATGGGATTTTAGTTCCCTGACCAGGGATCGAACCTGAGTCCTCCACACTGCAGGAAGAACTCTTAACCACTAGACCACCATGGAAGTCCCACAATACAGTATTATTGTAGAATAGTCACCATGCTGTGCATTAGATCCTCAGAACTTACGAATTAACCTTATAACTGAATATTTGTACCCTTTCCTCCACCCCCATACTACACTCACTTTACACATCACCCTAGACCTGCGCACATGCTCTGGTCTCTGGTCCTCGCATCCGTGCATCGGCTTGCTTGTTACATGATCATGGGCTCGTGTGGCTCAGGAAACACTCCAGTAATGCTTCAGCTCATGGCCAGACTCTGAACCCCTTGCCTCCAGCCCAGAGACTTTCCTGCTGCCGCTGAAGTAGCAGACACAGCAGGCTCTCCTCGGTAGCCAAGGCACTGCGACAGGCGTTGGTGCCCTCTCTGAACTCCAGCCATAGAGGGTGGCTGGGCCCAGCCTATTAATTCTCCCTCACACCCTGGACTCTGCAGAGAGGTATAGTTTCATACAGCCTCACTGATAATGTATCATGAGGTTGAACAAATCCGTTTGTCCTGAAGCTACGGCTGGTTCAGTAATGGAAGTGAAAGTGCTAGTTGCTCAGTCGTGTCCATGGAATTCTGGACAAGGCAAGAATACTGGAGTGGGTTGCTATTCCTTTCTCCAGGGGATCTTCCTAACCCAGGGAATGAACCTGGGTCTCCTGCAACTGCAGGCAGGTTCTTTATCGTCTGAACCACCAGAGAAGCCCCTGCACCTTCTTAAATTTGCTTTTGCTGCTTTCTTTATTCCTCACTTTCCTTGCCTTGCACTTACTGATAAAGTGCTTTTGCCTCTGGCTCTAGTTTCCAGGGAGGCTGGCAGTCTGCAGTCTTCTGACTTGCCATCCTAGCGAGCATACCACCGGCTGGGGTGAAGGTGTGCATCTGCAGGACTCATGCTTGCTGGTGACGGGAGCAAACTCTGGCCAAACTAAGCAAGAGAAGGAAACTCTTAAAGGGCCTTAGAAAGTTAAAGATAGACTTATTGTTTAACCCAGTAATTCCACTTCTGGATATATGTCCAAAGAATTGAAAGGAAGGTCTTGAAGAAATATTTGTACACCCATGTTTACAACAGCACTATTCATGATAGCCAAAAAGTGGAAGCAACCCAACGTCCTTTGACAGATAAATGGATAAACAAAATGTGTGAAGTGAATACTATTGAGTCTCAAAGGGGATCTGAGATGCACTACAGCGTGGAAGTACCTCAAGGACTGTCTTAGTCCACTTGGCTTGCTTATAGCAAAATAACAAACTGGGGAGTTAATTTTTAAAAAAAATGTATTTCTCACAGCCCTAGAAGCTGGGAATTCCAAGATCCAGGCATTACCTGATTTGGTTTTTGATGAAGGCCTCATTCCTGGTTTTTAGATGGCTGTCTGCTGTGTCCTCAAAAATGTCCTCCTGAAATGTTTTATAAGAGCACTAATCTCATTCATAAGGGCTCTACCCTCACGGCCTAATTACCTACCTCCCAAAGGCCCCACTTGCAAATACCGTCACCTTGTATCAAAATAAGAGTTTTGTGGGAACACAAACATTCAATCTATTACAAGGACTTTATGCTAAATGAAATAAGCCACAAAGAGAAAAATACGGTATGATTCCACTTACATGAGGTGTTGAGAATAGGCAAATTCAGAGACAGACGGTGGAAAGTTGGCTCCCAGGTACTGGAGGAGAGAGGATATTTGTTTCATGGGTATACTGTTGTGACTTTGCAAGGTGAAAGAGTTCTGGAGGTGGCTGGTGATGGTTAATGTGAATGTACTTAACACCACTGAACTGTACACATCAAAGTGGTTAAGACGGTAAATTTTATGTTACACGTTTTTTACCACTGGAAGTATTGAAGACTTCCAGTCTGATGGTGGAGTGAAGTGGTCAGGCCACCTGACCTGCATATAACTATGATAAAATTTGAGTGAAATACTAAAACAAATACATGCCAACTATTTAAAAGAACTGGAGAGCTTCCCTGGTGGCTCAGTGGTAAAGAATCCACCTGTCAATGCAGGAGACACAGGTTCGATCCCTGATCCAGGAAGAGCCCGCATGCAGTGGAGCACCTGAGCACGTGCCCCAGAGCTTGGGAGCCGCAACTACTGAGCCTGCGTGCCCTAGAGCCCGTGCCCCACAACGAGAGAAACCACTGCAGTGAGAAGCCCATGCACCGAGACTAGAGAGCAGCCCCCACTTGCTGCAACTAAAGAAAGAGCCTGCACAGCAACGAAGACCCAGCACAGCCGATAAATAAATAATAAAAATAAAAGAACTGCAAAGCACCCCAAAGCAGACAGAAACGAGAGGCGTATTCGTCCTGAAAACCTAACAACCACAAGAGCTAAGAATCGAGAGTTTGTTTTCCTCCCGATGGGGCTGCCCAGGGCCCTCTGCCGTAGTGGAGGAGAACACCTGGAACATCACATCCCTGTCAGCTTCGTGTAGCAGAGAACAGAGCTCAGAGCTGCAAGAAAACCCGGGCGAACCTCTGGATGTGAGAGAACCACAGAAGGGGTGATGCTAAACACCTGAGTCAACCTGCGGTTCACATCCCTGGCTCTATGCATGTGCTGCGGATGCAGTGGAAAACAGGCAGGAATCTGTCTATTCTTGGAAGGCAGCTACACTAGATGATACTTGGGAGTTTACTGCTTTTTATCTGACTGCGTTCCCCAACTGTGTACAGCATGAGTGGTAGAAAGCTGTAGCCTTACACTTGAGATATCAGAGAATATAACCTGGTGCTGGGAGGAAGCCGAGGATTTCAGAGGGAATCCTCAGAAGGAAGGAAACCACAAAGCTTCTGAGTGTCAAGTTTACCGAGATCCTTGACTGATGGCCAAACTATGCATGCAGAGGGGAGTATCCCCAGTGGAACAGGGAAAGAAAAGCTGTGACTACAAGCTAAAGAGACCAGCTGCCACACCCTCCCTGGGAGACAGGATTCAGTGTGAATATAGGCAAATTAACTTTCCTCTAAAACAATAACAACAGCAAAACAGTCATGCTTAGAACACAACAAAATCTAGAGACACCTACAATATGTTGTCTGAAATGTCTAATTTTCAAACAAAAGTTAGACAAGCAAAGAATTGGGAAGATACAATTCACTGCTAGGAAAAAAAAAAGTTGAAATTGACTCCAAGTGGATTCAGATATTGAATTTAGCAAAGACTTCAAAACATGTTATAAATATGTATCAATAATTAAAGTTAGTTATTTTAATTAGTGAACAGGTAGGAAAACTCAATAGTTAAAAACTATTAAAAATGGAATTTCAAGAGCCAAGCAGTATGATTAAGTGAAATTAGAAATTTGTGGGGTTTTTTTGGATGGTTTGAATAGCAGATTAGAGATGGCAGAAGAATGAGTGAACTTC